GCTATTTTTCTGGGTATCTTTCCAGAAAAATTAAAAACATCATACCACAACAATATATGTTCAAGCCAGGCGTGGTGGCACACGCCTGTAATCCTACCATTTGGGAGGCTGAGGCAGGAGGATCGTTGTGAGTTTTAGACCAGCCTGGGCTACAAAGTGAGCTCAAGGCCAGCCTGAACTGCATAGCGAGACCCTGCCTCAAAAAGACAAAATAAATAAATAAATAAGAACATACTCAATTAAAAAAAAATACATTCACCCATGTTTATATCAGCACAGTTTGTAATAGTTAGGTCTTGGAAACAACCCAAATACCCATCAACTGAGGAACGGATTAAAAAAATGTGGCCTTTTTATACAATAGAGTACTACTCAGCCATAAAAAAGGATAAATTAGAGACTTTTATAGGTAAATGGATGCAACTTGAGACCATACCCGTAAGTGAAATAAACCAGATGCACATGTGCAAACATTATATTGTCTCTCTAGTGTGAAAGAGTAAATAAGATCCAAAATGTACAATAGATATTATAAAAGGGGAAGAAACTTCAAAAAGAAAGAGAAACTGAGATGGAGGAATGGAGAAAAGAACAAAGGGAAAAGCAAAAAAAAAAAAAAAAAAAATATATATATATATATATATATATGATAGTTAAGATAGTCACACTACTAATTTCTCTTAGGTCACTAAAAAGAAACGTTTGTGCTAATACTGTTTGGACAATTAAATGCCAATATGTTATACTCTGAGTACCTAAAGATAACAATACGTAATTTATTAACCATTGTTACCCTCTTATTACTTTGTTTTGATTTTTTTTCTCTTTAAAATTAAAATAAAAACTACGAGCCAGAATCAGCCACCCAAGACCTGAGAGATGCCAGGCTCCTTGAGAAGGGGGAACCCGCGGCCCCACCTTTGGCCTCCCTCTCCAGACAGATGCAGGGGACAGATGCAGAATGAATGAACTCAGGGTTTATACTGATAATAAACAGGAAATTGTAGATGGGTTTAAATATTTACACAGAATGCAGGCTTTAGGGTGAGGACATTCCAGGGAGGGCAGGGTAGGGGCAGCAGACATAGCACAAAGTGAATGTCAGTCCAAACTTGCCCTTCAAGTACACCCGGGGATAGAGGGACAACTTCGGAGGGGAAACCCCTGCCCCAGCCCGGAAAGTGTGCCAGAAGCCGGGGCCACCTCATCCCTTCCTTCCTCGGGAGATCCCTGTTTACCCTGCAGTGACGCTGAAGGCAGCGTGATCAGTCGTGAGTCTGAGTCCTGACTCATGATTGCAAGCGACTGTCTCATGGGGAAGGAGGCAGGAGGCTGGAAAGGGGAAGCGAGTTGTTTTCCAGGACACTGTTTGCTCCTTCTCCAGCTCACCCTGTCCCCGAGCCCTTTCCTCCATTTCCTCCATTTCTGCCGCCCCCTGTCCTGGCCTCTCCCCCTGCTTAGCTCCCCCAGGAAGACTCAGCGCAGAGGGAGCAGAGCTGGCCTTTCTCCGTCTCAGCAAGCAACTACGGGGGTACAGCCAGGACCGTCCCTCTGTGGGAGCTTCTCTGCTGTGGGCCGGAGAGCGAATTTAATCTCCTAGTACTAGAGATCCTCTCTCTCCCTCTCTCTCTCTCCCTCTCTTTCTCTCTCTGTTTTTTGATACAGGGTCTCTCTATGTAGTTCAGGCTGGCCTTGAACTCAGCCTCCCAAGTAGTGGAATCACAGTGGTGTGCCACCACACCTGACAATGTCTCACCACTTGTCTCCTCCGGACCTAGAAGTCAGGGTCATCTCAGAAAGAGGAAGCCCCTGGCTGCCCTTTGCCGGCTCCCAGCACTGATGTGAAAATGAGGTACAGGGCCTTTCAGAGACCCAGAAGGTAAAATATACAAGCCTCCAGTGGCCTGAAGTAGAGAGGGAGTGGCATGGGCCTGGGCCCTGGACCCCCGAGATCCCGGGACTCATGCGAACTGGAAGCAGGGAGCAAGGCGGCCCCCAAGTCATCCTGCCTCCACTTCCCTGAATGCTTGCAGTTTCCCAGAGAGGAGGCCGTGGGCGCAGGTCCCTCTGAGACACCAGATAAGCTGGGAGAAGAAAGTGAGCCCAGCAGGAGCAAGCTCATCTGCCCAGGCCAAGTCCCCCAGCTCTTAATAAGAAACGCACCAGAAATCTTCTCTAGGTCAAAAAGCAACTGCAAGCGAAGGCGAGAGGTGGTAACTTTCCAAACATAGAGTTATGACAGCTCCCCCACCACACACACACAAACACAAATACACATGCACACACACACATACGTACACTGTTGTGAAGATTATACCATGTAGGCATGAGTAACTCACATCTCAGGCAAATCTAGCTTACTTCTGTTATGGTTTGTTTCTGCATGCCCCCCTAAACCCTCATGCAGTCATGGGCCAGCCTTCTAGATTTTTGGTTGATCCATAGTCCAATGCTGGGATTATAGGTGTGAGTGCTACACCCGCCCTGGGGCAGATAGTTTGCATACAATGTAAGGGAGGGAAAGAGGCTGCTTGCCACTGTTCCCCTTTTTCTCTTGCTGCTTTTGCTGTGTTCTGCTGCTGCAAACGGTTGCCCTATACCATGTGCCACTCTGCCTTGGAGCCAGCCAAGTATGGACTGAAACCTCCACAAACCTCCTCAAACCCTTCCTTCCTTAATTTTGGGCATCAGGTATTTTGTCTCAGCAACGAGAGAAAAGTAACCAAGACAGGGCTGGGGATTTAGCTCAGCGGCAAAAGCGCCTGCCTGGCAAGCGCAAGGTCGTGGGTTCGGTTCCCGGTACCGGAGAAAAACAAAAAAAAAAAAAAAAAAAAAAAAAAAAAAAAACACCTCAACTTCTTTAACAAAAAAAACAAAAACAAAAAAACAAAAAACCTTAGGGCTGGAGATTTAGCTCAGTGGCATAGCGCCTGCCTGGCAAGCGCAAGGTCATGAGTTCGATTCCTGGTACCGGAAAACAACAACAACAACAAAAAAAAACGAAAAGTAACCAAGACAACTTCTTCCTTTTTTTTTTGTCTAGTGATTGAATCCAAGGCCTTTGCACTGAGCCACATCCTCAGCCACTTGTTTCTGTTATTGCTGCTGTGGTGGTGGTTGGTGTTTGTTTGTTTTTTTGTTTGTCTGTTTGAGATAAGGTCTCACTAGGTAGTTTAGGCTGGCCTTGAACTCATTATGTACCTAAGCTGGCATGGAACTCACAGCAATCCTCTTGCCTCAGCCTCCCAGAGCACTGGGATTTATGGGCATGTGCGCTACGCCTGGTTACATTCTTTCTTTATTAATACACTCAGCTTTAATACATTCACCCTGGAAGTGTCACAGCCACAGTTCACTTGGTTTCCACATCCAGGAAGGGTAGCACTGGGGTAGTGTCACTGTCCCTTTGCTGGCGCTGCAGACTCCCCTACCCCTACCACTTCCACCCGAGGCTGGTGTGTCTCTGGGTCACACAGACTTCTGCAGCAAGAGCAGGGTCAGAGCACAGACATGAGGACAGGGCTCCCTGGGTCCCTAGCCCAGTGACAGAGGCACACAGGAAGTACTTCACACTTTGCCTCTAGAGGGACAGAGTCATAAAACTAGAGGTGACCTCAGAGACTCCTCACCTAGACAAAAAAGGCACAGAACCACAGCAGTCAGGGATGGGCAGGAGCAGAACCAGCATAGCACAGGGGTCTTCCGCCTCACTCATCCACAGGGACCCCCGTACCCTCCCAGCTATGTCCTCCCTGCCTCTGCCCCACCACTCTGTGGCCTTTGTCTCCCACAGGGCCTGCCCAGGATCCAGAGGGAAATCATCCCAAGCAGCAGTGCTTCCTAGCTGGCTCTGGGGGGCGCTCCCTCTCTCCTGAGTGCCCTTCCCTGACGGGGCAAAGATGACTTCCAGCCCTCTGATGACACCTACAGCAGCCCTCAGCATGTACATACAGGAGAACCCGGAATCCCCTCCACAAACAGAGTGCCCACTGCCTCTGCCTGCCAGGTCAGGGCCCACCCTCAGCTCACCCCACCAGGGACCTCCAAGCAGCACTGTTTGCTAGAGGAGAGACAGAGGATCAGTGGGGTGGATGAACCGGCTCAGGGGGACCCGGTTGCTCAGTGGCACCTCGATGGCCCAGGCCTCCCACTCCTGTGCCTGCCTGGAAGAAGGCATCTTCCCAGCAGGCCTGCTGCTCAGCGCAACCATCTACACCCTGACGAACAGGATGCGTCCGTCTCACCACTCTAGGTTTCAAGGACAGCTGCTCATCGAATCAGATGTGAGGTCCACGAGCAGGCCTACAGGGCTTCAGGTTGCCAGCTAATGAAGGTAGAAGCTGATTTTCCATCTGCAGCTCTCTTTTTTGCTTTTGTGTATTTCTTCTTGGGCGGGGGGCAGAACCGTGTCTGCCTAGGGTACCATTTTGTACCTATTCAGAAAAATGTACCAGTATCCCAAGGTGTCCTAAAAGGTTAGGGCTGTTTCCTGCTGCCAGAACTGCATTTGGGCACCGGGAGAGAAGAAGCTGCTGAGCTGCAGCCAGGCAGAGACACAAAGGTCTTTTCCAAAAGGTCACCCAGGTCACCCACTCTACAGAAATGCCCAGTCTTGGCTTGGACGGAACTGAGCTCAGCCACAGGCGGGACCAATTGTTGGGTTTGGATTCTGGTCTGTGCCACAGGGCACCCAAAGGCCACAGCAGGCCTTCCCTGTCCCCTTGGGCAGATTGTTTTACCTGAGGGCCTCCTTCCTCCAGCGTCCCTTTCCCAGAAGGCTTTGTGACTCTGGCAGCCCCTGCAGCAACCTCTCACAGATCTACTTCTTTTCCATCTTCCCCCTTATCTGCATCCGCTTGGCTTTATAATGATTCTGTTACAGGGCGCATTTGAGTTTTATGTACTTCTGAATGTGTGTCTTATTTCATGATTAAATATGTCAAAAATTAAAACAAAACACAAAAAGAAAAAAGAAAGCAAGAAAGTCAAAGCAAGGGCAGTCATCAAGTTTACAAAATACTTTCTGTGTGAGACAAAAGCTTTCGTATCTGGAGAGTGCCTCAGCCCCACACCCAGCACATGCAGTCACCGTTTACCAAAGGCGCTAAGTACCTGCTCAGGGGACAGCCAGCAGTGACATGAATTTCTGGATAAATCAGTGGGTAAAATGAGGAACCCCGGGCAGAGCAAGGATCCTGGGGCACAAGTGAAACTACAGTGAAAACTCACTGGGAAATGTTGGGTTCACAAAGACTCCAGATCCACGCGAACTCTCTCCACAGCCATTGCAGCAACACGGCACACCTGTGGAGAGGCTGCAACTAAGTGCAGGTCTTCGGTCCACAGTCCCCCCTACCCCATGGGTGGCTTTGCAAAGCCACAGCCCTAACGGGAGGCCACTGCCCCTTCCGAAAGGGCGTGGGAAACCAGCGTGTGCAGCCAGGCAGCCAGACCCCGTGCTGCTCCAGCACAGCTTTCTCCGAGCTCGAGGTGCCGTCCAGTCCCTGTCCTCACAAAGCCCACGAGGCGGGGGAGGGGCTGCAGTTGTAGATGAAACCAGACCCTGCTTGGGAGGCGCCCAGCCTAGGCTCCTGGCCTGGGCAGGGCCGGGCTCATGTTGTTATGGTTGAGTTGACCAGCTGGGAATCAGCAGGGGGGATATAAGGAAACCACATTCGTTAGGGGAAAGCAAACAGGACTGTCACTCTGCCCTTTATCCCAGTTTCCCTCGCAGCCCCCTCCCGCCACCTCCAGCATCCTGCCCTTTGAAGCCCTTTGCTTGGGCCCTGACCCTTCACGGGTCACTGTGGAGCAGCTCCTGGCTCTGACCCTGTTCCTGGGCGAGGCCGGGGAGGCTAGAAGAGCACATCTGCCCACAGCTGGGACCAGAATGTCCCCGAAGCTGTAGCTAGGCTGACCCGCCCATGGCTTCCGAACCCTGCCTTTGCTCTGACCTGAGTCTGCTGTCTCAGGGACAGGCGGCAAGTCACTGGGCCAGATGGTCTGCCACGAGCTGAGGTTTTCTGTGATGAAATGACCACATCTGGGCTCATCCCCGGTGGGCGTCTCTCTGAACATCTTCCTTGGGGAGGTTTACTTGGGACCAGAGCTGTCCCCAGAATCAAGGGGCAGAGTCAGGAGCCTGTGTGGAGGAAGGAAGGAGCGCCTCCTAATGAAACAGGGTGGAAGTGGGGGGGTGAAGCTGCAGGGAACAGGGATGGGTGGCTTTGCCAGGAAGAGGACAGGATGCTCAGCCTCCCTCCTCCCCATAGGCTTTGTGGTGTCCTTGCTGCTGTGAGGCCCAGGATTGCCAATGCCACTGGAAGCACTTCTCCCTTCATATGACAGTTTATTCTATCAACAGGCTGCAGATTCTGGCTCCTAAAAGACCCCTCCTAGCTAGGCATGGTAGCACATGGCACACACCTGAAATCCAACACTTGAGAGACTGAGGCAGGAGAATCACTGCAAGTTTTAAACTAGCCTGGGGTACATCGCAAGTCAAGGAAAGCCTGAACTACATAGCAAGATCTTGTCTCAAAAACAAACAAGAGGGGGGCTGGGGATTTAGTTCAGTGGCAAAGCGTCTGTCTGGCAAGCGCAAGGTCATGAGTTCAATTCCTGGTACTGGAAAAAAAAAAAAAAAAAAAAAAAAAAAACAAGAGGGGAAGAGGTGTTCAAGGGAGGGGAGGGGAATGGAAAAAAAAAAAGAAGCAAGATATACCAGATACAGGTACAAATTCCTTATGATGAATGCTATTATTATGTATATCTAAAACGTGCCAATAAAAATGTCAGGTAAAACTGAGAAAAAAATAAATAAAAATATAAAGATAAAAAAAAAAGACCCTTCTTTTGCACGGCAGCTAGCCCTCTGCAGACCCCAAACAAGAGCCATCACCATCTTACATTCCACAGCCCAGTTATACTTAAAAAATTCAGCAGCTAACCTAGTGGAAGAGAGAAAACTCTAAGGCTCACAAGGTGAAATACTATTTTCTGAGTAGGAAGATAGGTCTTAGAAAAACTGTCAGCTAAAAGCCTAGTAGTTGGGGTTTGGATGAGTGAATGATGGTAACTTTCAGACAGTGAAACATAACCATTAAAAACGATGCCAGAGAACCCGGGCATGGTGGCACACGCCTGTGATCCCAGCACTCAGGGAGCTGAGGCGGAGGACTGCCATGAGTTTGAGGCCAGCCTGAGCTACATAGTAAGTTCAAGGGCAGCCTGAACTACATAGGGACACCTGCTCTCAAAAAAAATAAATAAATAAAATAAATGGTCCTAGAGAACAAAAATGGAGATTAATGGAACCAAGCAGAGATCTCAGAAAACAAAGTAAAATGCAATGATATTTGCAGTGTTTTTGTTTTGTTGTTATTTCCTAGTTTTTTGATATAGGGCCTCACTATGCAGCCCAGGCTGGCCTCAAATTTGTGGTCCTCCTGCCTCAGCCTTCTGAGTGCTGGGATTATAGGCATGTGCCACAGTGTCTGCCTATTGTGTGATATTTTTAATAAATTGTTTGAGTCAGATATACTATGGGAAAGAAATGAATCTTAATCCCAATCTCAGAGACGTAACACAACAATTCCAGATGAATTGAAGAGCTAAATGTGAAAAGTAAAACAATAAGCTAGAACCTAGAAGGCTGAAGCAGGAGAACTGCTGTAAGTTCAAGGCCAGCCTGTGCTACATAGTGAGTTTAAAGCCAGCCTGAACTACACAGTGAAATTCTATCTTACTCTCCCCCCAAAAAAGAGAAAACCATAATTTTTTTTGAAGAAATCACTGGAAAACTTCTTCATGACCTTGAAACAGGGAAAAAATTAATAGGAAACAAAAAGTGTTAGCCACAAAGGAAAAAAAAAAAAGTGATGAACTGTACTCTGTAATAAAAATCATAGGACTGAAATTCATTAATATACATCAAATGCATGTACCAACTCCCCAAAATAAACTATCACCATGCAATATTAACATGTACTAGTAAAATATATTCTAAAAATAAAGAATTGTAAAAACACTGATCATTAAAAAACATACTACAGGGAATAAAGACAACCCAGAGAAATATATGACATTTGCAATACATATATTCAAAAAGGGATAAGTGCATCTCCATGGAGGAGCCCTGGGTAATCATGACTATGGAGGAACAAGAAAACAGCCTGTTGCTAGACACAGGTGCAAGTCTCTCGGTCCTTCTTTTCAATCCTCGCCTTCCTTCCAGCCGTCACACCTCAGTGACAGGAGTCACTGGTGAGGAGGTAATATGCTATTTTT